GAGGGGGAGGAGGAGGAGGAGGAGGAGGAGGAGGAGGAGGAGGAGGAGGAGCACGCTCGTCGCTGCCGCGTGGTCTCACCCCGCCCTGGGACCAAGGGGAGGCAGGCGGCAGCAGCATGTGCCGGGCCTTGCCAGGCCTTGCGAGGCCAGGCCCCCCGGCAACGCTAGGGAGCCCAGGCGACCACGGCGCCTTCACGGCTTGCGGCGGTGGAGGGCGCCGACAGCGACGACGGCGCGGCATAGCAGCGGCAGCAGCAGCAGCAGCAGCAGCAGCAGCAGCAGCAGCAGCAGCGAAGCAGCAGCGAAGCAGCAGCAGCGAAGCAGCAGCAGGGATCTGCGACCACCCGGCGAACCTCAGTCCGCACCAGAGTATCAGGCATCCCCGCTGAGGCTCACTCTCTGATTGGGGAAACGTAATATTCGAGAACGCTGGGGCTCGGGTTTGCCGGCGTTTTTTCACGAGCGCGTCCTGGATTTTGACGGGCTGGTTTTCGTGGGATGACTGCAGCGGGAGTTCGCGTCAAATTTCAGACTCGGTGGGTCTCGTCATTTTCATGACGGCCCCGTCAGACCAACCCGAGTCCCCCGTACCCGAGTCTTACGTCTCCCCGATCTGAGCCGCAGCCAGCTTTCCAGACCTCTGGCTTGCCAGGGTAGGGGTCAAATGTGGTTGCCCAAGGCAGCGGGGTCGGGCGACCACGTCGACAAGGGGCGGCGACGGCGACGGCGCCAGCGGCGGCAGCAGCAACAGCAGCAGCAGCAGCAGCAGCAGCAGCAGCAGCAGCAGCAGCAGCAGACGCTGGACCTGGCCAGGCCTAGCGGGGCCAGGGTCCGCGGCAGCACTAGGAGTCAGGTAACACATGATGGCATAATCATGAACTTTCGCAGTTCCGCGCGGATTTCTTGGATCGGCGCTGGACCCCTTGGCGGCGCCTCCAGCGCCGCCCCTGACGCGCTCCGCGCGCCAGGCACGGGGGTCTCCAGCGCCAATCCAGGAAATCCGCGCGGACCTTCGAGTTGTTATATTTCTGTCACTGTTTGTTCCCCGATGACTTGGCCTGGCGGGGCCGGGGTCCGCGGCACCAGCAAGAAAGCCCAGGGCGACCACGACCTGCAGCGGTGGAAGGCGCCGACGGCGACGGTGGCACGGCAGCAGCGAAGCAGCGGCGGCAGCAGGGAACCAGATGACCACGTCGGCGAAGGGTGACGACGGCGACGACGACGACGACGACGACGACGCGTTGGGCGCCCCGCGCAGGCCGCAGTGGCGGCCGCGCCGCCTGCGGCAGCGCGGCCCAGCAGGGCGCGCTCTGGCGCCGCGGGCGCGGACGCTGTGGCCGCGGGGCTGGGGAGGCGCGCGGCCTGCGCCTTCTGGCTCGCAGAGCTCTTGAGCACCTTGGCGCGCCGGGAGCGCTGCCCCTGGGCGCGCGCGACAGACAAGAGAACGCAGACCCTTTCGCTGCGGATCCCGTTCCTTTCGATTTCACCACATTCCCATTCATCGTGAGTTACCACAGGGATACGGTCTGGAACTTGTGCATGGCGTGGCGCCGCGGCGGTCTCGGCGGCACGCCATGCCATGCGAGGGGATTGCGTGTCGTTCCGCTCCGCAGGGCGGGAAGTTCGGAAAGACTCGGGACGTTGACGCTTGGGGACTCGGACATGGAGAACGCTCTTCCCGTACGCTCGCGCCGAGCGTGGTGGGCTAGAACTGGCCGAGCGACGCTCTTCCCGTACGTTCCCCGACCGTATCCCCAGGCACGCCATCGAAAGTGGGAAGGATTTTTGTCGCGGCCTTGCGGGACCCACGCGTGCTGCGCCTTCCGCGGTGCAGCTGGGGTTCACCAGGCCTGTTTGTTCGTCTTCCGCTGCCCACTCGGCGCCTGATCACGGTTGCGTGTGTGCCGAGGTTTCCCCCGTCTATGAGTTCACCGAAGGCAGCAGAACCTTCACACAAAGACGAAGAGTGCTGAAGGCAAACTTGAGCTCACTGAGCGAAAAGGGATTTCTGATTGTAAAATATGCTGCCCTCGATGGGCTCACAGACGGCATCTTTCGCGGTCAGTGAGCTCATTGCAAGCGGGCTGGTTCATCTTTGCCTTCAGTGAACTGTTTGCCTTCAGTACTTCAGCCATGTTCGCACTAAGTGTGCGTTGCCCACCCCGCACCTGATCACGCGTGCGCGCCTGGGACCTCCCCAGGTCTTCCCCGTCGCTTTCCCCTCGGCCGCCTTGGATCCTTTGCGGCATCGCAGAACTGAAACTAATCGATTGCTTCGAAGAGGAAGCTGCGTAAGCATACGCTTTCGGATGCCCATGCGGATATGTTGGATTGGCGCTGGACCTCCCGACCTGGCGCGCTGAACACGCCAGGGGCAAGGCAAGGCAAGGTCCCGCACGAACGCGAAGCCTGGTCCGATACAGGACGCACAATGAAACAATTACACATTCTACAGATCAGTGATATTTTTTGTTGGTGCATTAGTGGTCAAGCATCAGGCGCCACTGCGCCCTGTGGCGCCGTTGGCCCAGCGTCGGTTGGTGTAGAGAGGTGGGACATGAGGGAAGAGGGGCGGGAAGATGAGGGCGGGGGAAGGGGAGAGGGGGAAACCAAACTGCAAATCTGTCCCATGGCGCTTGCGGCCTGCCTTTTGCAACGTTTCGGCTGGACTGGCAGCTTTGCGTCGGCAGCGCCGCCCGGGTTCCAAGCCGCAACTAGACTCACCAATGTGTGTTGGCTCAGACGAAGAATCCTCTCCGGCAGTCGCACCTTGCTATTGGCCAGTCGTCCGTGCCGACTCTGACATATCCCACCATGTAGCGCAGCATGTGCCGCTGTGTTTGCAAGCTTGACATCGTGTCTGGCGGTGTCGACATACCGTACAAGGCCGTATGGGTAACGATGCTATCGAACAACCGGGCACGGAGGTCGAAACCAACGTGTTTCTTCGTCAAAGCCGCCCTGAACGTGTTGAATTTGGCCCACGCACAAATAAGCCGATTTGCAAGCATAGCCCTGTGTCTGTTCTTGAGGTCGCCCGGGAAACGAATTCCCAAGTATGTGTAATAGTCAGCAGACCGGACTACGTTGATGAAGTCCCCAGCGGTGACGACTAAGACTTCAGATGCGTTGTTATACATCTCCGGATATAATGTGAAAACCCAGTTCCTTTTGGCTCTCAGCTCCAGGCCGATTCGCTGCAGCTGTTCGTTCAGCGCGTCAAGCATCACAGTGAGCTCCTCCAAGCTGTTTGCATCGACGATTCAGTCGTCCGCGAACCTACCATGGGACAGGCGTCTGCTGCAGCAGCCGGGCTTGGGCTTCAGGCCGTGATCACGCAGGCGAGGTTGCCATTGCTGTATGACCATCTCCAGTCCAGCGGTAAAAGGCAGCGGATTAAGAACGTCACCTTGACGAGCGCCTCTTTAGATGTCAAACATGCCGTCGGGTCCAAGTCGCCCGACTTTTTTGCTGTGTATATCCGAAAACATCTTCAAGTATGGGCGCGAAAATCTATGTAAGTCTGAACCTCGAACAGTTGAGGCCACATAATGCGATCAAATGCCTTCTTCAGGTCAAGGCTCGGAAAACAGAGGTGCACATGATGGTCGATCGCCTTGCTGATCACCGTCTCCAAAACAAGCAGGGCGTCCTCGGTGCTACGGGCTGGCATGGAGCCGATCTGTTCATCATCGTGTTCTTGATAATCCCTGTGTTTGAGGCGGCCATGGAGAAGCGGACGAAGATGTTGTACGTCACCTTTAGGACTGCTATCGGGCGCCAATTGGAAGGATTAGACAGATCTTCGGATTCGCGAAACATGGAACATCTGTTTCGTGCCAGCCTTTGTCAGGGCGCCGCCCTGTCGCAATATATCGTTTAACGGCTGAAGCAATGAATTGTAGGATCCCCGCGCCGCCCTTCAAAATCATTTTTAAAGCAACGCCAGATTGGTTTCTGCACCTGCCCTTTGCCACCTGCTTAATAGCGCGACTCAGCTCTCCAGGGGTGATCGAACGGATGATGCTCATGCAGGCGTCGTCGACTGTCGGGCAGTACGTGTCGCTCACGAAGATGCCGCCCATGAGCTTCGCCATATGGTTTGGGGCCAGACGGAGCTGGACTCGCGCTGGACCAGGAGGCGGTGCACAGACGACAGAGCAGATATGTTGCGAAAGTCGTCTCAAATCTTAAAGGTTTTCCGGCTCTTAAGACGGCGTGTACTGTTGCGGACATGTTTCTGGATCTCCTTTGACAGCAGATTTCGCCTCGCCTTGTCTGTGCAAGCTTTCCTCGTGCCGCAACTGTTTCAACCTACTGCCATCAGCGAAATCAGCGGCACGTGGAAGGTCTACTTCACGGGCGGCCTCTGCGACAGACTCCAACACTTCTTCAATGCGCGTCAGGTTTGCAGGCCGCTCGGACGACAAAGCCGCTTTCTGATGACAAACAGCAGTTTCTGGTTCAATCCATTTCTGGGGCGCTTTTTGCCGTCATCGTACCTTGCGGCTTTTGGGCCCGCCCATCTGGAAAAGCACTGCCTCGACTGCTCTGTGGTCCGTGCCCACGTCAATGCTGTCCACAGCAGACGCATGGAGAACTTGAAAACCAGGACTGTAAAACAACATCAATCTGCTGCTTCACACCCAGACTGCTTGTGAAAGTGTGTGCCTCTTCCAACGAGCAGCCGCCGCCATCGTTGGCGATTCGCACATTGAAGTAGCCTGTGAATGGCCAGAGCTTCTCCGCACGACTGCCTGTGTTGACCTGTGTTGCGCACCTCTGGACGGTATCCTGCATGTTACATCTTCTCTGGCAAATCGCATGGCCAGAACACTATATCCATACGTCGCTTCGCAACAGCATGGTCGGCCCAACATGTATGAATTCAAACAGACCACACCGTAACCCTCGCCACGGTGGTTTCTCAGCTTGTGGTTGCCGCTGAGCTCCCATTTTCCTGCACCGGCCCTTGTCTCGCTGAAGCAAACGAAATCCCACGTCATGGTGTGCAGCTCCAATAGTGCGCCTACCATCCTCTGAGCTGTGTGTATTCGTGCATTTTTGCAATCGACCCTCACCTGCAGTGGCGGGTAGAGCACTGTGCTCGCAAGGTTCTGTCCCTAGTGGGGGCCCTTGCCGCCCTTGCCCTTGTCTTCTTCGGCTCCTTTCCCAGCGGTGCTCCGCTGGAGCCAGCCGGCGGCGAGTTCGTTCCATTTTCCGTCCTTTTTCAAACATTTCTCCCAGCCTTCCCCGCACATTTCATTTGCAGCTTCCCGTTCTCCACTGGCTCCTCCACCAGTTGCGCTCCTAGCTTCAGGATATCCGTGTCCACGTTGGCCCAGAAGGCCTTTCTGTCGAAGCCCCACTGGACGAACGAAGCCTTCGCCCCGAACAGCATGCCTGCGGGACGCGCGCGTGGACAGGCAAGCCCGGCTTCGCCTAAACAATTTTGCCTTCACGTGAAAGGCGTGCCTCCCGAAGTTTTAAAAGAACCAGGCGCCGATCTGACGAACAAGCGACGACGCCGAAGAACGTGTTGGAGAACTCGCCCTTGCACTACATCTCGCGCGCGTTCGGGACGCTGCGCCACCACAACTGGTGAGTCGGCCACCTCTCTGCCTCATCCTTCCCCTCGAGATCCACGAGGTTCCCAAAGACCGCCGTCGCCTGGTTGGCGTTGTCGTTGGCCGTCGCTGTGAGCGCATTCACATTGAGGTCAAGCTGGCGAAACCGCTCTTTAAGTTCAGCACCATCCCTGAAGTTGGAAGCCACGGGCGATGCGCGTGATCCTACCTTACTGACATTCGTCTTTACGTTTTTCAAGTCGGCCTTCTGATCGGACAGCTCTTTCTCGAGCGCTGCAAACTTGTGATCGCTCTTATCTCTCATCGTGTTGACGGTGGTGTCGATGCGGTCGATGTCTGCCTGCATAGACCTAATGTTGTTCAGCACCAGAATAAACTTCTCGTCAATCAAAGTTTTGGGACGATCGACAAGGGGTCGGAAATAATGGGTGCGATGCCCAACCGTACTTCTCGTACATTTTGAACAGGACTCGCTGTCCGCGCCGCCGCGGACGTTGCACATTGAAGGCGTAAAGCCGCCTGCCCAACAGCAGCCGCTGCCGCTTTTGAGCAACATTGGTTGTTGGGCATTGTACCAATGTGTTTGCCTTACCCGTTTCGGGCTTCCAAAAGTTGCGATAGCTTCCAAAGTAGGGGGTTCTGCTTGTGGGGCCGCACTGTCAAAGATGAGATGGCGGGCGGTACCCCGAGTATTATCGACATCGCTGGGTTCCCCATCCATCTCGTTCAATGGACTGGTCAGCCGAACACGTTTCTCAACATTCTTGGCTAGCGTTTATCTAGGCCTCCCAGATGGGGTCGAAGTAGATGGGGTCGGAGGATCGCGCCGTATCGTCGATGCATCGGCGATGTGTCTCGATGTGGAGCCCGATTATTTCCATGCTGGCGTCGCCGGTGCGTCGCCGACGTCGCCGATGCATAGCCGATGCATCGGCGATGTATCGCCGATGTATCGGCGATGCGGCGCGATCCTCCGACCCCATCTACTCCGACCCCATCTAGGAGGCCTGTGTTCAATGGACTGGTCAGCCGAGCATGTTTCTCTTCATTCCCGACTGGCGCTGAAACGGAGCTGACCTCATTTGAGCTGCTGGAGCCTCTCTCGACGCATAGCGGTGTTCCAGGAATCGGCATTTGCACACAGTAGCAGCGGGGGAAGGAATAGTAGCGACACGTGTGCCAGAGCACCGAAGCCGAGACAAGTGTACTGCAGCCCTCGCAGGAAGCCCAGCCTTTGAGACGGTCTAGTCTTGAGCCAAGGAGTGCCCTCTTGCTTGAGCCAAAAATCCGCGCATACATCATCCAATAGGTTCTGCTTGTGTCCTTTTTTGTTCCTCTTTCTCCTGCTCTTCCACTCTCCTGTCATCCGCTTGCCACTGATCCTGCCCCAGGGCCGCCGAGTCGCCGGCGAAGGGCACCGACGAGCTCGCGGTGCCGAGGATGCTTCTGCCCCTGCATGGGGTGAGCGGCGCGGCAGTGAGCAGATCGGGGGATGCCATGGAAACGAGGAGCCTGCATGAGCATACACTGTTGGAGGTCCGCGCGAATTTCCTGGACCGGCGCCGGGACCCCCTGGCGGCGCCTCCGGCGCCACACCTGGCGCGTTCCGCGCGCAAGGAAAGGGGGTCAAGCGCCGATTTATTTACAACCCTCCTGCGTTTGGTTCTCGTTATGAGCACCGCGCTCTCCGACCTCATCTCACCTCCTCCAGCTCCTCCTCCTCCTCCTCCTCCTCCTCCTCCTCATCATCATCATCATCCTCCTCTTCGGGTTCCTCCTCCTCCTCCTCTTCGCCTCCTACCTCCTGCATCCTGCTTCATTCGCAACCCTCTTGTGCTGATTCCCGGTTCGAAGCATTGTTCGTGCGTCTCACATCGCGGCTCCTCCTGAGGCTGCCAAACGCGCAAGCGTCGCCATTTTCGTGCCCTCCTGGGAGGTCAATTTGGAGGGGTGGGCAGGCGAGACCTCGCGGCTCCCTGGGAGGTTGTTGTGCGCTCCAGCGGAGGCAGCACAGGCAGGCGAATCCTCGCGGCTCCCCGGGAGGCTGTCAACTGCGCAACCGCCGCCACTCTCGTGGGCTCCTGGCTCCTGGGAGGTCCAGCGGGGGCGGTAGGCAGTGAGATCGCGCGGCTCCCCCCGGAGAGGCCGTCAGCTGCGCACTCGTCACGTCTCAGGCAGTCGAGACCTCGCGGTGCCCTGGGAGGCTGTCCACTGCGCCAGCGTCGCCGATTGCGCGGGCTCCAGCGGAGGCGGTACAGTCAAAAACACTAGTAAGGACGCGCGACTTTGCTCAGGGTACCTTTGCGTCCTTGCTCTTCCTTGCTCTTGCGTCCTTGAGGCTTTCGTCGTCCGCCGCCCCAAAAAATCCCAACTTCGGCTTCCAAGGGTCTTGCGTCCTTACCGCGCGTCCTTATTAGGGTTTTTGAATGTAGGCAGGCGAGACCTCGCGATCCCCTGGGAGGCTGCCAGCTGCTCAACCGTCGCCACTGCCGTGAGTTCCCGGGATGGCCAGCGGGGGCAGGCAGGCAGGCGAGGCCTCTCGCGGCCCCCATTGGAGGCCAGCATCGGTGCGGCTGCCCGCCTCCGATCTGGATCGCAAGGATTACTACGCGAACGGAGGGCGCTGAGCGTGTTCAGGCGTCAGTTGGCGACGTGCTCCCAGGGGCGACAGATGTGCTCGTGCGTTCATGTGGAGTTCAGGAGGTCTGATGCTGGCCGCCATAGGCGTAGGCATGCCGTGGTACGTCCAGGGGTCAGCTTCTTCAGCACCAGCCTGGCGAAGGGCCCGACCCTGTGCAGCTGCGTGTAGCGCGGTGGGTGGCCCTCTCCCCATGTACTGCGCGCCGCGTGGGGGGGGGGGGAGCGAGGGCAGTGCGGAGGAGAGTCTGCGGAGAAGGCGCGCAGAAACGCGCTGGGCTCTCTGTTGGGCGCGATTCGCGCGAGGGATGTGCCGGCATGGGCGCGGGGACGCCGCAGGGACGCCCCCGCTGGGGCCGCAAGTGGAGCTCCCTACACTCTGGGGCACGATCCGTGCGAAGGGCATGGCGACATGGGCGCAGAAACGCTACAGGAATGCCCCTGCTGGGGCCGTAGGTGGAGTCCACTACGGGGCACGATCTATGTGAGATTTGTGCCGAGCTGGGCGCGGAGCCTTCAAGAACGTCCCCAGTGGGGATGTAAGTGGAGCTCCCCACGGGGCAGTCGGAGTTGCCGTCCGCAGGCGTTAGCGCTGTCGTTGACGCAGAAAGTCAGAGTTACTGTCAGCGCAGTCGTTGGCGCAGGAGTCATCGATTCTTCTGTAGGCGTGGGCACACTCACTGATGCAGACCTCGCCTCTACTGTCGGCGACGCCGTCGATGCAGCTGTGGTCGCGCTGGTTGGCACACTCGCAGGTGAGAAAGAGCTCTTCGTGTGGTCGCTAGTAGTGTCCCCCCCCCGGGTTCGACCGCGGGGGGCCTCTCCAAAATGGCTCCGGGCTCCGAACCCCCGAGGGCCTCCCGAGAATCGTAGGGTACTCCCTCCCCTGTGGGGGGGGGAGGCAGAAGGGGGGCGGGGCCGGGGGGGAGGGGGGCCCTTCTTGGCGACGGCGGCGGCTGCGGCGGCGGCCACGACGGCGACGATGGAGACAGGGGGACGACACGCGCAACCGAGGACCACGACGACGGCGTCGACGACGAGCGACGGCGACGGCGACGGCGACGGCGACGGCGACGGCGCCGCCGACGGCGACGACGACGACGACGACGACGACGACGACGACGACGTGGACGATGACGACGACGACGACGAACACGTGGACGGCGACGACGACGGGGACGGCGACGGCGAAGGCGACGACGACGACGACGATGACGACGACGTGGACGATGATGACGACGACGACGTGGACGGCGACGGCGACGACGAGGGCGAAGGCGACGACGACGACGACGACGTAGACGGCGATGGCGATAGCGACGGCGACGGCGACGGCGACGGCGAAGGCGACGGCGACGACGACGACGCGGACGACGACGACGACGACCACATGGACGGCGACGGCGACGGCGACGACGACGACGACGACGTGGACGATGAGGAGGACGACCCGCCCTATGTGGACGCCCCGCCCCATCATTGAGCGAATGTTCCTGTAATGTCCCGCCTGTCTGAACGACGTTTTCGGCGGCTGTGATCGATTTTGCCTTCACCTTGTCATGTCACACAGCGAAGGTTGCACACAATGTCCCGCGTCCAACTAGGATTGCCCATCACTGACTAACTGACTACAGGTTTCAATTAATAACCCGCCCCGCCCGTCCTGTTGTTTTTCTTTGTGTACAACCGCCTGCGCACTTACCCGTCGGGACAGCTGTCGTTAAACACCTCGGTGCGCCTGTCGGAATGGCTGTCGGAGCAGAGCGCCGACTTGCGGTCGGTGCAGCCGTTGTCGCAGAAGACGGCGATCTTGGTGTAGAGTTGGATCTTCATGCCTCGGAAGGTGACGTCATTGATTGTAACCCCGCAGCTGGTAATGGAGTGCCTCGTGCCGAACGCCAGACGTTCGGATCCAAGTTCCGTCGCCGCTCGGCAGAAGGATACGCCACGGTGTTCCGCACCGGCATCTCTGCACCAGTGTTGCTGTGCTGGCCGCACCCTCTCAGGATGCGGTTGACCCGCGCCCCTAACCGCTGGGGCAGAAGGGGGCCAAGCGAGGTGCCCCATGCACCCCATGCTTGTGTAGAACTATAAAAAGTCGAGGCCCTCCTGGCAGCTGTACGCCAGGACCTCAGCCTGAAAGCTCGGCCAACCCTCGGCTTCGGGCGAGGACAGGGCCCCTGCAGAGGTCGAGCCGGGGCAGCCGGAGGCCGAGGCGCAGATGGTGGCGGGACCTGTGCGGCGCGCCGCCCCGCGCGCCGCTTCCTCGGGCGGCGCACGCCCCCGGTGGCGGCGCGCGGCGCGCGGCGCGCGGCGCCGGGCGGGCCACGGCCGCCTCGCTCCGGGGCCTGTCGGAGGGTCGTCGCGAGGGTCGAGGGCAGGGCTCGCAGGAGGGAGGGCGGCGTCGCCTCGCAGCGGAGCGCCGCCGGGAGTCTCGATGGCACCCGGTGGGGCCCAGCGTGCGGACCGAGGCCTCACGAATGGGCCGGATCCGAGAAGACGGGGTCGGAGGATCGCGCCGCATCGCCGATGCATCGGCGATGCGGCTCGATTTGGAGCCCGATATTCTCCACGCCGACGGCGCCGCCACATCGCCGATGCATAGGCGATGCGGCGCGATCCTCCGACCCCACCTAATCTTTTCAACAAGAAGAGTGGTCCTAGAGGTCTTGTGCGGGGAGGTCTTGTTCGGAATGTCTTGTGCGGTCTTGTGTGGGCTCTTGTGTCGGGCTCTGGGCGCCGATTCGCGCCCTCTTGCCTCGTTCTCCTGCACAATGTCTTGCGCGCGTCTTGTGCGCGATCGCTCTTCGCTCGACCACGTCTCTGTTAAATCTGGTACCAGGGACCCGTGTGGGAGGCCTCCGACGGAGGACGCCGTCTTTTGTTGTGCTCTGCCCGCGCCGCGTCTTGCTGCACCCGTCGTTCGTCACTTACCTCCCACCGTTTTCCCTCCGAATGCCATCAAACATCGGGCGATCGTCGCCGATCCTTTGCCAGCCACGCCCCATCGCTGCACGTGGAAGGGCGCCGCCTGGCATACCAGCGTAAACATCTGGGGGCGCCGCGTGCTGTCGGGCCGAGGGGAGCAGTCAGAGTCCCGAATCATCAGGGGTAACTCGGGTCAGGGCTAACTCGGGCTCGTTTTTCGGGAATCCGAACCCGAGTTGCCCCGGGCCCGAGTTACCCCGGATAACTCGGGCGTCCAGAGCCCCAAATCATCAGGGATAATTCGGGTCAGGGCTAACTCGGGTTCGTTTTTCAGGAATCCAAGCCCGAGTTACCCCGGGCCCGAGTTACCCCAGATAACTCGGGCGCCCAAAGCAGGGGAGCGCCCTCAGAGCGCGAAGGGGCGCACAATTCTCCCAATCCTGGAGCCAAGCAGGCAAACTCGAACGCAAGGCTGTAGCAGCCGTCCAGCGATGCCCCCCCGCAGTTCTACCTTCGACTCCTGGTGTCGGCCGCGCGGGACCCCGCCTCCCGAGAGGCTGCAACAAAGAGAATGTGAAAGGACCCCTTCTCACACCCTCATCTCTACTCCTCACTCGTCTTTTTGCCTGCCTTATCGGCTCAGGTACTGGAAGAGACCAGGACGCTGGTCGCACGGGAGGAAAAGATCCCTATTTTTCCTTCCTTCCTCTACCTACGGATCAGGGGGTTCTGTACCTTTGTACTCTAACACCATACACAGAGAACTGCGTTCTGACTTCGCATCGGCAGACTTGGCGTGTTTGGGCACATGCCAAGTCGCATGCTGGAGCACATGCATGTGAACAGCGCGGCACTGCAGTGCCTCGGATAGGGAGCC